GATGAAGATGCCTATCAAGGTACAAGAAACACAAACAGACTGGGCCAGAAAAGAAATTCCCCACAGCACATGTTAATTAAAATTTTTTTAAAAAAAATGTACAGAACAAAGAATATTAAAAAGCTACAAAGAAGAAGGAACAAATAACATATAAATGTGAATCTATTAGAATTAAACCTGACTTTTCAATGGAGACTCTAAGTCAGAAGGGCCTGGATATTCTACAGATTCCTAGAGACCACAGAAGTCATCCCAGACTACTATCCCCAACAAAACTTTCAATCACAATAAATGGATCAAAAATAAAACAGTACCTGATAAAACCAAAATTAAGTAGTATCTATCTACAATTCTAGCTCTACAGAAAATGCTAGGAGAAAAACTTGAACAAGAAGAGGATAATCCAACTCAAGAAAACAGAAGGAATAAATAATCTCAGACCAACAAATCAAAAGGAGAAACACCCACACTACAACAATAAGATAACAGGAATCAACAAACTAAGTGATATTTCTCAATATCAGTGGTCTCAATTGGTCAATAAAAACACACAGACCAGATTAGAAAACAGGCTCCACCATTCTGCTGCATCCGAGAAACACAACGTAACATCAAAGATAAACTCTGTTAGTGGCAACTTTAGAAGTGTTGAAATTTTTTGCTAACCCAGCTAGCTTCCAAACAATTGAGACTGGACTGTTGTATTTATTTAGCAGCTTTAAGACATAACAACAGAGCAGTGTTCATTTATTTTAATAGTCTAAGCTAATCTTTCTAGCTGCCAAACAAAATCCCTGAGACATTTGTATTTAATGGCTTTCTCTGCTCCAGGTGTTTTCTCATCGTGTCTCCTGGACTCTCTCCCCATGGCTAAATCCTCACCTCCTCTCCTTCTGCCCCTCCCCTGGTTGGGAAGAAGTTCAGACCAATTCTGCTCAGTCACTGGCTAATCAGCTTCCTTATTGGCCAATCAGGGAGTAATTTGGGTGTAGGTTTAGATTTTTTTAAATCTACTTTTAATAAGGGTTCTTAAATGCTTTAAGCTTCCTTCTAGCCTACCACCCACCAGAGGTGGTGGAAAGGAAATGTTAACAGAGCAAAGAAGAATGTAGACCTGGTTAAAATAGTTCTTTGGTGCAAATCCAGTTCAGTTCAAGAATCAGCAGCTACAGCCCAGTCCACTCGAAAACACCATTCACCACAAAGCAGGTTTATCCAGGAGAATCCACAAGGTTCTGCAAATCCGTGAAAGTGGCAAGAAGCTGCCGAAATACCACCAGAAGTTCTTTGTGATGTTTCTGTCTATGAAGTCACAACAAATGATAACTAACAAAGAACGGCAAGGTAAACCAATACCATATAGCATCATCAGCAAAGGCCAGCATCAGCAAAGCCCAGTGATGACCAACAAAGAATGGCGAGGCATAACAATACCACACGGCATCATCCACTGTCTGTTAGTTTCCATTTATACTCTTTTCTAACATCACGTGTTCTCTCAAGCGTCTGTTCTAGCAAAACATCATGTGCTTTTTTTCCAGACTACTTCCAGGAAAATACCACATGTCTGTTCTCAGCAAAATATCCTCCTATGTGTCTACTTCAGCAAAAACATCCTCTCCTAAGACAATTTCCAGAAAAATATCACATGATACAACTGAGTCTCCAAAGAAACCAAAAATTCCCACTCTATTGGAGAGCAATGTTTACCAAACAATGAGAAAGGACATTCTTAGAATAAGAATTGCAACAAGATAGGAGTCATAGAAATCAGCATTTGAATAATACAAGGATAATCTTTACATTATGCCTAAATATCTCAGGGTAAAAGGATAGATATGCAAATGTGGAGACAAAGTGTGGGACAGAAACTGAAGGAGGGGCCATCTGGAGACCATTCCACCTGGGTATCCATCCTATGTGCAGTCACCAAAAGTAGACAGTCACTGATGTAGATGTCAGGAAGTGCATGCTGACAGGAGCCTGACATCGCTGTCTCCTTCGAGGTCTGCCAGAGTCTGACATATTCAGAAGCAGATGCTCACAGCTAACCATTGAAATGATCATGGGATTCCCAATGGAGGAGTTAGAGAGAAGACTGAAGGAGCTGAAAGGGTTTGTGGCCCCATGAGGAGAGCAACAATACCAACCAACCAGAGCTCCCAGGGTCTAAACCACCAGCCTGGGAGCACATAGGGAGGGACCCATGGCTCCAGCTGTATATGTAGGGGAAGATGGCCTTGTCAAGGATAGGTGGGAGAGGAGATCCTTGGTCCCATGAAAGCTGGACACCGAGTGTGGGGGAATTCAAGGGTGGGGAGGTGGGGGGCACATCCTCATAGAAGCAGGAGGAGGGGGGATAGGATAGGAGGTTCCTGGGTGGGGGGTGGAGGGAATGGGGTAAGGAGATTATATTGTTGGACTCTAAGATCCAAAACCAGGGGGCGTGCTCCCACAGAGACACACGGACGGGACTTGCTGCAATAACATGAGGTTTAATGAAACTAGTGCACTAGGACTCTCTCGCATGCAGGCAAGAGAGCCCCGAACAAAAGGTGGGAACAGTTTTTATACAGAGTTCACAAGGGCAAACCACAAAGTCTGACCTTTCCAGGTCCGGTCTCTAGGTGACTCAGATTGTGACAAGGAGTGTCCTGGAATGTGTCTGTGTGTTCTGGGCCTTCCTCACTCACAGGTGGGTTCCCTCCCCTGTGGTCTGAGGAATGTTAATCAGCCTCTCCCTTCTTCCTCTGAATGTTAATCTAGCAAGTGTCCTCTGACTAAGGAATGTGCCCCTCCAGGGATGTGTCCTAGGACAATGGAATTCTTTTAATCTTAAATTCAAACTGAGACCTGATTTTTAAGTTCAAACCAAGACCTGAATTCTAAGTTCAAACCAAGACCTGAAAGTCCTACAATATCTGAAATGTAAATAAAATATCCAATAAAAAAATAAAAATATACCAGAGGACTGCTGTTACTGTAGGAGCTTCTCCTTTCTATGTCATTAGCTTAGGCTGCACGGGCTACTTCATGGTGGGAAAGTTAATTGTTATCATTGGGGAAATACTGCAAATTCTATCTTTTGTTTCCAGGCATTTATACTTTGCCCAGATCAATAAAGCAGAAAAAGAGAGGATTGAGTAGCATTTCCAAAATTGTTAGGTCCTTTGCTATTTGACTTGCTCTTTAATATATATACTTTGCATGACTCACATGTTGTCATATTTCACATGTACTATGAGATGTATTAATGTGAATACTTAAGGGGTAAGAAATTTAAGTTAAATAAATAAGGTCATTTTTTCTTTATGCTTCAAAAAAAATAAATAAATAAAATAAAAATAAATTAAAAAAAAAAAAGAAAGAAAAGATACGTCAAGCAAGTGGACTAAGAAAAAGGCAGGCCAGTATCATTATTTTAATATCTGGCAAAACATACTTGAAACCAAAACTAATCAGAAGAGATAGGGAAGGGCACTATATGTTTACTAAAGGAAAACTTCACCAACAGGATATTGCAATTCTAAACATTCATGCATCAAACACAAGGGCACCAAGCTCATAAAAGAAACAATACTACAGCAAATTCACTTAATGACTCTCATACAGTGAGAGTGTTTGTGGTGATTTGGATTTTAAAAAATGACCCAATAGGCTCGTATATTTGAATTCTCAGTCACCAGAGAGTGGAACTGTTTGAAAAGATTAGAAGGATTACGAGGTGTGACCTTGTTGGAGGAAGTATGTTACTGGGGGTTGCCAAGGACCAGCCTCAGCTTGAAGAGAGGTTCTGAGGAAGGGATGTTTGAGAGTAGTAAAGGAAATGACTTGAAATAAAATCATGGGTACAAGCTTACAGCCTGTGTTCTCCTCAAGACAGCTTTCTCTAGAGATCTCCAGACACTTCATCCAGATAGCTGAGCTCTCACAGACTGAAGCCCAGTATTGTATTTACATTTCAGTTCAGTCATTTGCTCCAGGTTCCCTTTTGATTATCCCATGAATCAGTATTCCATGATCTCAAAACCCTGATTCTTAGAAAAAGACAGCAAGTGCATTTTTTAACATTGCAAATGAATTCAGAGATTTACCTGCCTTTGTAAGCAAAGATAATAAGTTTAGCTAAGTAGGATCCTGTTCTGAAATTACCATTCTCACCACCCCTTGGCCTGAGCATAAATTTGCTCTGTCCCAGATTGACCTTGAACTCAGAAATCTGCCTGCCTTTGTAAACACAATGAACTTAGCTGGGTAGGATCTTGTCCTGCAATCACCACTCCCCAAATCTCTTTATCAATACCTCTCTGACAAGCTGCCTTATAGTGCAGCTGCCTTTGTTCTTTTAAGTCCATAAAGCCCATCATAAAATTCATATTGCATCCTTATATTTTGCATAGTTGAGAAACTGCACATTCTTGAACTCATGTTTTCAGAGATCTTACCCACATCCTTAAGGACTGTCTTGAATGTCACAGCATTTGCCATTTTGCTGAGACATTAGACAAACCCTCTCCTCCCAGACTCATTCTATCTCTGATTATCATGGAGTCATTAACCTTGGCAGAGATGACATTCCCCAATAACCTTGACAGGGAGAATACTTCCCAAAAATGGAACATAAAGTAAAAAATATTTTCATATACAAACCAGTCTCATGCCCAGCAATAGTTAACACTTGTTGAGACCCATGCCCTGCTGGCTCTGTTCCAGGGGCAAGAATCATGTCACAGTGTCCCATCTATGACCATACAAGACTTGGCAGGGGGAGGGGCTTAAAGTTTTATGCCCAGTCTCTCTCTCTCTCTCCCACTCTCCCTCTCTTTCTCTTCCCCTCTCCCTCTTCCTTTCTCCCTCTCTGTCTCCCTCCCCTCCTCTCTTTTCTCCAGCACTATGGCTGGCTACACACTGCCGTACTCCCCACCATGATGATAATGTACTAACCTCTGAAACTGTAAGCAACCCCACGAATAAATGTTTTCTTTTATAAAGTTGCTTTTTCTATCCCTAGAGGCATTGTGGATGTGGCTGCTGGGTCACATGTGAATCAGTATGTGGCACAGAAAAGAGAGACTATGTCTATGCTCAGTGTTCTGACCTATGAACATCTGAGTAATTAGTAGCCTAACATTCCCTGAAACAAGTAAACCTGAGATGACAACCAGTCCGGTGTCAGGAAGGCCTGAGCATGCTCCCAGAACAGAGAGCATGCCGACTAGAAAAACTTGCCTGGGACTATATTCAACTACGCAGAAAGAAGTGAGCCTGAGACAGATGACATTCTCAAGGGGACACTCAGGTGAACAAAGCTGGGAACAAACCCAAGACAACCACCAGACTGGTACCACGGGGCCCAGGCAGGGAGCTAGCCTGAGATGACCAGCAGTCTGGTGCAGTGCAGACCTGGGGGGGAGGGGCAGATCATGACAAAGATGACCCCTGCCCAGTGCCATAAGGCACAAGCAGGACATATCACTCCTAAGACAATCCCAGACACTCAGAGACCTCAGACACCACCAAGAGAAGCAAGTAAGTGGTGAAAAAATGGAAGAGAAAGAGAAACAGAAGGATGTGGCACAATGAACACAAGCAGAACTGGAAACTCAAGGGTAGTGAGAAACAGCCTGATGTGAGGAGCTGGTGATGCCACCTAGGACCATGGTGGGGTCCTGGCCTGTGCTGCCACCAGGAGCCACACCTGGGTCCATGGCCCTACATCCACAGAGGTCTGTTACCATCAAAGGCCAGATGGACATCTGTGGTCTGGGCTGCCACCCAAGAACGTGCTCATGTCTGAGGCCTATGCAGACCTGGCCCCTTTCCTTATCTGGGCATCATGAGAGAGCTGGCCCTGGGGATAGGAAAGCTGACTCCATCCCTAGCCAGCTCCAGAACTAAGAAGAGTTGGGACATATTGCTGGCGTTGCAGGTGAGTCAGCCCCGAGGATATGAGCTTGGGAGAGCTGGTCCTATACTCATCTTCTGTGTGTTGGCATGGATGAGGGAAAAATACCCTCCCATACCCTCACACCTTACCACCTGCAGCAGTCAAAAGACCTGATCCTGGGGACATGAGAGAAGGAGAAGTGGCCCTGCCCCTCATCAGTTGCATGGCTCAGGAGAGTAGACATTACCTGGACACAGTAGAGCTGGCCCTAGACCAAATAGTTATGGATAGAAGACTAGATAGAAGGGAGGTTAGAATGAGAAGGCTAAGTGGGGAGTGGAGGAAGAAAAGGATATGGGAAGGAATGCGGAGAGAGACAGCTAAAATCAAGAAACATTTGAGGGATAGTATAGAAATCTAACATAGCAGAAATCTCCTAAAATGTATACACATATGAAGATTATCTAAATGAAATCAGCAAATAATGGCAGAGAGAGAATCCCAATTGGCTATCTCTTGTCACCAAAGCTTCTAGTACTGAGATTGGATTATATATAATTGAGTTGTTGACCAAAGGGACCCCACAGAAATCCCCAAACAACCAGGCTGTTGCCAAGACTCTTAAGTTGCTCTCCACCAACTGAGAGAAATAACACCTACACAACTCATTGAACATGGAGGTGTTGAGCTGGTATCTACCTACAATCCAAAGTCTTTTGTACAGGAAGGTACTTTCCACACTATCAAATGAGAAATGTAAACACCAATCCAGCCACAATAGACCTTTATCCACAATGGTGTACTACCTGCAAGATACACTAGGGCAATGGCAGCACAAAGCCTGTGGAAGTAACCAACCAATAACTGGTTTTACTTAAGGCTAATTCCATGACATGGAACCCAGCAGACACTTCTTGGTTGACCAAGAATTTGAGACTAGATATCCCAGGGACTTATGGTAAAACTAATAATACTGGTCTTAAAAAAAAATGTAGTGATATAATGACTCCTTATGATATTCTACTATATATACAGAGTGCCTTGTTCAGCCACCAGAGAAGTGTTCTCCCAAAGCCAGATGGAAACAAACATAAGAGACCCACAGCCAGACATTACACAGAGAATGAAAGACCTCAGAACACTCAATCCTAAATGGGATGTCTCTATCAAATCCTTTCCCTAAAAGCTCAGGGAACCTCACAGAAGAGAAGGAGAAAGAATTTCAGAGCCAGGGAAGATGGCAGACACCAAGAAAACAAGGCCCGCTACATCAGCTTGAGCAAAGATCCTATGAACTGACAGTCTGGGGTAGCATGCACAGGGCCTGTGTGAGTTCCCAGCAGGTCCTCTGCACGTACACATACTATGGCTTCTACTTTAGTGTTTCATGGAATTCCTGAGTATGAGAATGAGTGGTCCTCTGATTCATGTGGCTTCTCTCGGCCGCTTTTCCTTCTTCCAACTGTGGAGAGCTTTTGGGACCACTTGGAAGGAATCTGAGATTGGCCGAGGACAAGGAAATGGGCTTCAGGCAGGAATCTGACATTGGACCATGACAAGGAAGTAAGTTCAGGCAGGAATCTAATTTTAGGCTAAAACAGGGAAGTAACTTCAAGCAGGAATCTAAGTCTTAGGCTAGAACAAAGAAGTAGGCCTCAGTCATTGAGTAAGACTGTGGGCTAGGACGGAATATCTAGCCTAGGCTCAGATATTTTGGTCATCCTGACAAGCCCTTACAGTGATCACAGGAGTGACTGAGGGAGGGATCTTGGGACTTTGCTTATTGCCTTCCTTGTATCCTGACTATCTGCATCTCTTGCATTGCTAGTTCCTCAACCTAGAACTGACCTAAATTACTTGCATGTAATTAAAATAGTATAAAAGCAGATTGGGAAAAAAATAAACCCGCCTTCAGTCTCAGAATTGACTGGGGTCATGCTGCAATGTTGTCTAATTGTCTTTTTTCTTTTTAATCCTCACTCCTGCAATGGAGAACCTGTTGACTGACTGAGCTGGCCTGGTCATCCAACTTCAATGTGATCGTTTTATCTTTTTATATTTTATTTGGTTATATTTTTAATTAGTCAATTAAAACCTAGCCATTAAGGTAAAGCTTAATGGCTGAATTGTCATTTATACCTGCTGGTAGAGGGGAAAACCAGTTTTCTCCAATGGAGTGACACTGCCCAGACAACCACTTCAGAGTAGGCCTCATGTCCAGGAGAATTGACCAACATATAAAGGACTAAACAGTGCTTTTATTTGGTTATAGTTTGGAATGAAAGGTTGTTGTTGTTTTGTTTAGGGGAAGTTGTTTTGGGAGTGGGGGATGGTGTTTTATTTTGTTTTCTTGGTTTTGCTGTTATATTGATTTTTGTTTGTTGAGAAAGAACCTCGAAAAAAAACAAAAATAAATAAAAATAAAAAATAAAAATAAATAAATAAATAAATAAATAATAAAAATAAAATAAAAAAAAGAGAAAGAACCTCTAAACAACCCAGGCTATTGCCAAGGCTATTTGTTGCCTTCCACAAACTGATGGCAAGTCCCTCTTATTGAAAATAACATGTACACTACTTACTGAACATGAAAAAGTCCAGCTGGTGCCTACCCAGAGCCTTCACCCCTACCGAGTGAATACAGATTGAAGATCTAGAAAGACTTGAGGGAGAAGAATAATGTGATTGAAACATATTTAAAGTTAAGATTGGCTGGGCAGTGGTGGCACACGCCTTTAATCCCAGCACTTGGGAGGCAGAGGCAGGCAGATTTCTGAGTTTGAGGCCAGCCTGGTCTACAGAGTGAGTTCCAGGATAGCCAGGGCTACACAGAGAAACCCTGTCTTGAAAAACCAAAAAAGAAATTTAAAAAATTAAAAAAATAAAGTTAAGATTGTTTTAAATAATTAAGATAAATGATGATGAAGAGATAGATAGATGATAGATAGATAGATAGATAGATAGATAGATAGATAGATGATAGATAGATATCAAATAATGGTGGAGCTGGAGACAAAGCCCCAACTACACGTCTCTAGTCAATAAGTAGAACCTCCAGTCCCAGGAGTGCGCTATATTTAATCAAACTGTTAGTCAAAGAGGCCCCAGGCTATTGCCAAGACTATTTGTTCCTTTCCACAAACTGATGGTAAGTCCCCACTGCTGAAGACAATGCATAAACAACTCATCGAGCATGAAGAAGTCCATCTGGTGCCTACCTAGAGCCTTCACCCCTACTGACTAGTGTTCATGGTCCTAGAAGCTATGTGTACACTATCAGAGGAAAAAGATAAACATCAGTCCAACGACAAACTCTTCTATCTACATTGATAACCTACAAGAAATGCTGGTACAATAGCAGCACAAACTTTGTGGGAGTAACCAATCAATATTTGATTGGATTTAAGGCCAACTCCATGAGATGGAACCCATCCTCAACACAACTTGTATAGCTAAGAGCCTGAAGCTAGACAGGCCATGTACCTATGGAAAATACAAATACTACTCTCTGACCCAGGAGCTATCTCTAATTGATAACTACTAACAAAGAAAAAATTAGTTTTCTCCAACAGAGTCTCGTTGTGCATAAAAACCACCTTTAAGGACAGACCCCATGCCCAGCAGTAGATGGCCAACACAAAGGAAATTCAATGTCATTGTTACAGGATCCTTGTCACATAATGCTTTATGAGGATACTACTTATATTTTATTTCTTTCTCTAATTACAGGTCTTTCTCATATATATTATAGTTCACAGTGTTGTGAGTTTCTGGGGATTTCTCTGTGTATGAATGTGTGTGTGTGTGTGTGTGTGTGTGTGTGCATCTGTAAGAGTTTCTTATGCTTTTTCTTTGGCTCTTTTTCTTCTAAGAGTTTGTTTTTATTCAGTCTTGGTTTGTATGGGTTTGGGTGGATGGGTAGTCTGGGAGGAGTTGGGAGGAGTTGGGGGAGGGGAACCATCATCAGAATGTATTACATGAAGGAAAACTATTTTCAATTTAAAATACAGAATTTAGAGCTGAAATCATATGGTTGAAGAAAGTAACACGTCTGTGTTTATAATGAATACTGGATTGATTACTGTTCTCATTTGGCTCAACAGTGTGAGGGTACGGTCTGCCATGACAGGGATGGCTCCATGTCAAGCGGGAGTATGTTGTCCCTGCAATCAGGAAGCATGGAGACAAATGCTAGTGCTCACCTCACTCTCTCTTTTCTTCCCACGTCATTCATTTCATAGCTCA